GGATAGCCAGTAACAATCCCAAGCCCGCATAAGCTAGAGTTATACGATAGACCTTCAACTGAACCAGCTGTCAGACCGATCCAGTGGCATTGTGTCAACTAAACCAGGAACATGGCGGTAGACCTTCAACTAAACCGGTACCACAATAACAATGTTTAAAAAAAAATCCAAGTTACGCTCAAACAAGACAACGAATGTAACAAGACTACGACGTGTTTACGAAACCTATTGTGCGCATTGAAGTTTTCCAAATAGTATGTCTATTATCTAAATTGTGTCGATGTTACGTCAAACGTTCCAAGCTTCCATTCTAACTTAGAATACAGAATTTGACAGGCTACAGCATACAACATAATTATGCAATGCATTATTTACAAAAAATATCAATTCCCTGCTTTTCACATGGACCATCTGGAACCAGTCTTCTTCATGTTGTAAGGTTGATGTTAGGCAGTAATCTGACAGCATCTAAAGTACTTCTCTATTATATCTTGAGCGAGATTGGGCCAATAGATGCTTTGTCTTGCAAGGTCATTGGCCCTTCGTGTGCCCACATGGCCCGTATTCTTGAGGATCTCACCTCTCAGATTTAATGGGACAATGATTTTGTTCTGGTAAAACGGCAAACCATTCTCTTCATATAATTCATCTTTCAAATTCAAGCGATGTAGCCGCCTCATTTCCTCAACATCGTTGTTATGAATGAGAAGCCATTTATTTATTGTCAGCTTTCATGCTGAACAGCATTTTGGTCTGGACTCCTATCGTCACATGATTCCTTTCTTTATTTCTCCATCATGTCTGAGGTGACTGGGATGCCTGCAGTGGCACTGAACACTCTCTGAAACTTCTTGTTTTCGTGCGTTCTATTCTTTATTTGGTAACTTTTTCATGGGGGGAACACTTGGCACAGAGTTCCTGTTATGTACATATGAGACCCAGGCATGTAATTTATTATCTCTGTATGTCATTGATATTTTATCGTTATAGAAGGGCAAGAGGGCAGGCATCAGACTGCTTCAATCTTTCTCAATGATTATGCCCTGCTCCCTTTAATTTTTTTGCTACGATGAAAGTGTCTTCCAACAGACAATTGACTCCTTCCTTTTCTCCAAATGTCTGTATGCTTCTTTTGGGGGTAATTTCAATGCCGAGCTTATTCCAAATGGCATGTACAAGAAGCGAAATCTCCCAAATGTTGTGTAGAATTTAATGAGGTAAGAGTTTTCCTCATCTAATCCTTATTGCCAGTATGCGCTTTTCAGATCTACATAATATCAAAAGGTTAAATACTTTTATTGCTTCCAAGGCTTGGAGAGATCAGAAATCTGATCGCAGGTATGTTTTTCAAACTGAAGGTAAACCACATGATTGATACGTTCAACAATTTCAGCTCAAACCAAAGTTTCAGCAAGCCGTCCAGCTCTTTGGCAATGACTGGAATGTTTACTCACTGTGTCAGGTTTCATAACTTTTCTGTTCTACTAGTATCATTCAATTTCTGTTTCAGCTTAGCATGAGTGCAGGTGGTGTGCGTCTGTCAAGAAGCATGTATAACAGGACCTACAGTCTTTTTTAGCTATATTATGCGGTATGGTTCTGGGTATTTGCCCAACCCTTCAAGCACTTCTTTGTGTTCTCTTAGCAGGTCATCTCTTTGGAGACGGCAAGTTCTACTCATTTTTTGCAGTCTCCATCTAGCTGGATCAGTCCCATACCTGCTGATGCATGGAGTTCGAAACTGCATCTACATTTTCTGTAGTAACATGACTTGTGGTGTCGATAGCAAACTTGTTTCCAGCTCTAGTACAAATGTAGTTGTTTCAGCTTAACCATCAATGTGGATATCATCGTTGCAATATTCATTCAGCTAGCCTTCCGCCTATTTTTTCCGAAGCTTTCTTTGGAACAACATTAATTTGTTTCAACTCTTAAGTCTTATTTCAATTAACACTGTTGAACCAATAACACTGACTTTTGGCATACCATGCTTTCTTTTCTTGTCCCCCCCCCCCCCACCCCACTAATTTCTTCTACAGATCCAGTCAATGATGCACTTTGATCTCCCCCAAGACTTTCTTCCACTCTGATGGCTCTACTCTGTTGGCTTTTTACAAATGCATGCGAAGTTGTTCGTTTTTTCCATACTTCTAACAATGCTTCTCAAATGCAGGACATGACCTGGGCTTGGGGTGACCACCATATTTGCTGCATACCAAAGGATTTTCTACAGGCCTGGCTTGTTGCAGGCCTGATCTTGAAAAGCCTATTCATTATGGCCACCGCATCTATTGATCTATTATGTAGGCTCTCTTCTCAAATGATTTAGCTTGGCAGTGATATTTCCCCCAGCAATTGTTAATGTGTTAGCCTTCCTCAGGGACAAGTCATTGTGCCAGAGCATAATTTGTTTTAACTCTTTAAGGGCGCGCATTCTAGTCTTTCAACAACATATGAAGACATATTTTAAGGGCCTTTCTTCTTGTAATAAAAAAGAATAACTTCGTTATTCATCACTGGTACAGACTTTTCAATTCAAATTTCTTTATCTTTAACTTAATCCCCCCCCCCCCCAAAGCAAACTACACAAAACGCATATAATGTCTGATATTAAGCATATTTAGTTTTGTATCTCCGATTTGAGTAGAAAAGTTCTATATGTGCCACAACATTGCCTTTGATCTGCTGTCGGACATATTATGTGTCTGCTACGCTCTTAAAGAGTTAATGATTAGGACATTCCGGAGACTAGCATATCTCTTACTCTTATTAAGTTGTTTTTCACTTCCAGTTACACTAGTGGAACATAACTTTTGAGGCCAGCGATGAAACTATCAATCTTATCTCCAGGTTGTTGTAATCTGTCGAAGAAAAGGTAGTGTTCATGAACTACATTCTTCCTTGGTTCACAGAAGCTTTGACACCTGTGTGCAATAATTATTTTAAAAAAAATTTAATTCGCCTTCCTAATCTGATAGCACAAACAAGTAAAACAAAAAAGACTTCCAAGTCAGCGTCTCCTATCAGGCGAAGGAAGGTTGCTGCTTGCAGTCCTTTCGGTTTCTCCATGCGCTCTATGATCCTTCTAGGATTTCCACAGACATTTCCCTCAAAGGGATGGAGTCGAGGGTAACATTAACATGTCAGCCAAACAGTACCACTCAGTGAGAGCTTTGATTTGTTTAACATTAAATGGACACAGTTAGAAACAGAACCTTTTTGGGTAGGGTTGGTATAATTTATTATATAAAATGATAAGACATGTTTAACCTGAAGTGAAATGGCATCAGTTCAAAATCTACAAATTGGAGGTATCTATTTTTGGCCGACATCTCCGTTCGTAGATTGAGAGAATTAACTAATTTTGTCAGCACACTTCACATTTAATTAGTTATTAATAGAATCCCTTGCCAGGCCGGTGTACAGCACCACGTCCTAAGGTTGTGTGTTATTTACATCCCATTTACACGCGTGGATTAAAAATAAATTACCCAGGTACTCTCGCTAGTTTTAGCTTGTTGAAACCATATTTGACACCACGATCTCACAAACCTCTACCAAACATCACTAGACAATTTGCATTTGCATTGTGTCTATTTTCTATCTTTTTTTGTGGTCCAACCTCATTCTATATGCACAGAAGTGCGTGAGGCTATTGCGATTGACACAAAACCAACTTATGTCAATATTATGTCAATATTAGATGTTATGGTATAAACATGTGGCAATTCAGTTACAGTCAATAATATTAAAGAATATTAACATCTTATTCTATCTATTTTGGGCACAGATGAAGTGAAGTTTTTTTAATGAAACAAAAATAGGCCAATACACTATGTTCCTTTAAACCAATGCATCGATATAACGTTTGTCTTATTTTCCTGTTTATCTAAAAGGGTGACAGGATAGAGATAAAGATCCAAAAGCTAAAACATTCGAATCAAAATAAATCAAGTAAATCATCATCATCATCATCATCATCATCATCATCATCATCATCATCATCATCATCAGCAGCTTTTCTCACCCCATGCAGCAATACATCTTATACTAAATCATCAACAAGATCTTGCCAACTGTAGCCTTGTCATAGTTCTAGGCCTACTTATTAAACATCTCTATTCCTCCAGATAAGTTCAGTCTAAATGTCTCTATTCCTCAATCAATTTCAATCTTGATAAAAAGAAATAGTCAAAGAATTTCCAATAGACACGGGTAGCTTTGCCTTCTTCGCAGAACTGAGAAAACACGTATCTCACCATCAGCTGCTCAGGGAACATTATCGCGTATCTGGAGTACATTGTCCCGCGGGTACCAGCACCAATAATCAGACAGGTCAGGGGCTCTTCTGTGCCTACGAACAAGACAACTTGGGTGATGACGACGACAACAATGCCAACAGCTTCAGCAACAATAATAAACAAGCACTAACAAACTAACGATGTCTTAAAATTTTGCTTTATATCTTTTTCCTTTCTTTTTCACAATTGATAGGAATAGACAAATATAGATTAGATCTTTAGTCAGAACACAATACAGTGTTTATGTGTTTCTGCTGTATTGCAAATCGCCTAGAGCTCGTGTACTTTAGTCAGGATTAAACGCCATATAATATACATGTCATACTGGTATGTTATTAGTCACATGTTCACACAAGAAATACAAATGCAACATAGCAAGTCCAAATGCAACATAGAAAGTTTCATGCCACATAGAAAATTCCAAATAATGTACAATACAATAGGAAATTTTAGTGCTCGATTGTGAGTAACAAGTTCAAATGTACAAATAACAAATCCAAATGTGACACAAGAGCAAGTTCAAATGCGACACAGCAAAAGCAAATATCCTCCACAAAGATTATTCAGCGTGAGAAGCATTTTCAATGTGCCCAAACTGAGTTTGCGACAATCATAAGCAGTTTAATTTTAGGGTGAATTGATCACCATTAAAAAAAAATTCCGAGAATGCTCCTTCGGAAAGAAATTTTGATAGGACTGAAGCAACCAGACATCACAAATCACTATGCAGCCTGGCTGGTGCAGAACAATTAACGGTATGGATTAGTCTTCATCGATGAGGCTGGTATCAAGCAGTTAATGAAGAGAAACTGTGGAAGAGCACGGCGTGGTCAATGCTTTGTTCGAGTAGTGCAGGGTCGAAAGGGACCAAACCGCACGATGACATACTGTCAGTGACGAGAGAGGCCTGGTCTTTCACGACTTTCAAGTAGAGGGAATGGCAGATATTATTTCAACCCATCCCTCTAAGAAACGGTTCCACCAATCCCCACAACGAAGTATGCTTTGTATGTAACAACGCTGGTGCACAAAGGCAAGCTTTAAATGGCAACTCATCAATAGATTGGGGGTGAAATATCTTTCCCCCTGCCCCCTACACACCTTTCTTAACATCTACGAAAAAGCTTGTGAATTTGAAAATACGATTTGAAACCGGGGCTAGGCGAAGCAAAAGACCAAATGCTCACTCAGCTGACTCGTCAACAAAGGATGGTCCCACTTGCCCAGATGATGGAACAAAAGACCCATGCTGTGACTATGGTGACTATGGCAGCAGCCTTCAAATCATCAATGAAAGCCCTTGCAGAAGCGTCTTGTAGTGAAATAGTATTTTGTGTAAATGTAAGTAAACTTGGTCTTACATTTCATTAAACTATTAT